ATTTAATAAGTGATACTTTAATGGGACTATGCTTGTTGTGAGAGTATCATATTGAGTCACTATGAGCCAATCAGTGGCTAAGCAAGACAGACTCTCAGAAGAGGACAACCCTGAAAGGGATGATTTTCAAAAGATCTGTATACCTCCTCATACACCATTTACCATCACTGTGAGGTTTTCCTTTTCTATAGAAACTTCCACTGTCTAGGGCCTAATCAGAATGATCTCAAACATGAATCTGACTTCCCCTCTGCCTCCAGTTTATTTGCTGTCTGCAGTGCAGACAAGTGCTTGGAGAATCTTGTTTCTTCTCTATCTTAATGTGTCCTGCATCACTCACTAAATGAGATGATCTCTCATTCAAGAGAGCAGAATCCCCCCCCAAACCCCTGATCACATTCAGTAAATAACCAAGGCATTGGAAGAATTAATCAATTAACTGGGGATAACTAGGACACGCTTCCAGAATCACATGGATGTGGTGGTCAGACTCTAGTCTAATGGCCTTCAAAAGGCTATTTTAGCAGAACCACATACCATCTTTTTTTCCATTGAAATATTACATTGCATCCCAATATACAAAACTGATAATAGCAGAGTTGCTCTGGTTGAAGGTGAGGAGAGCCCATAGCCCATCCCACTCAGCTTGCTTCTTATGAGGCACGTTCACCCTTACATGAGGAGTCCCTGGATACCTCCATGGAACTGTACAGTTTGCTACACTAATCTCAGTTTGAATATCCCTATTCTGGTATTCTGGCTCATCCTCTTACTTTAAGAGCTGGTTAGATGAAAGGGAAAGAGAAAAGTTGTGGTCAGATAATCAGGGGGTCAAATATTGAGATCTTACTAGAAACTATTTGACTCTTGGGCCTCAGCTTTCCCATTTGTAAAATGGAGATGATGAAAGCTGCTTTACTGCATTGTAATAAAAATTAAAGTGAGTTTATGAATATGATGTTCCTGGCACAGAGCAGATTCTCAATAAATACTGGCTCCCTTCCTTCTTTTCCTTCCCCTTCAGGTAAAATGACCTCTAGCACATCTGTAACAAACAGTTAACATTTTTTCCCACCACACTGACCACTGTGTATGTAGATGACTGTATCTTTATGTGTGTGACTAGAAAGGTATGAGAGAACCTGTTTACATGTATCTAGAAAGGTACAGGTCACCTCTGGGTAGTTTTAGGAACTGGCAACTAATGATTGTTGTAGTTTGTGTAAACTGTCCTCAGGCATTAATCGAGTTAATGAAAGTATTATTAGATAAGGCTGTGACACAGATGGACAGACAGGCTTCTTACGTTTCAAAATATTCATCATAGAAAAATTGGATCTATGTGCCTGCTTGTCACAATAAAGAATCTGAATATTGGTGAAGAAATAAAGGATAGTTTCTCCCACTTACCTGTCTGGGCAGAGCAGCCATAGAGTACCTTTATGCTCAGTGTAATAATGCATTTAGGTCACTTATTTAGAGGTTAGGTGAGGGGGAGGGAGCAAGTCAGGCCAGAGACCAGCTCCTCCGGCATGGACTCATGGACACCATCACAAAGAAGATGGCTCAGGCCCAGTATCTGAGGGAGTTCACTAGTTCTGTCCTAATTCTGGAATCAGAAAGCTGGGCATAATGGATAATGGTTGTTGAAGGCAGAACAATGGCCCCGAAAGACATCTACATCCTATCTCTGGAACCTATGAATATGTTATATTACCTGGCACGAAGCAATTATGGAATTACGGCAAAGGCTGCAATGGAATTAAGGTTGCTAATCAGTTGCCCTTAAAATAAGGCGATTATCCTGGATTCAGGTGGGCCCAGTGTAATCATGGGGTCCTTAAATGTGGAAAAGGGAAGCAGAAGAGACAGAAGGAAATATGATGAGGGAAGTAGAAGCTGGAGTGACTTGATATGAGGATTCAACCTGCCACTGCTGGTTTGAAGATGGGAGAGGGCCATGAACCAAGAAATGCAGCTGGCCTCTGAAAACTGGAAAAGGTAAGGAAACAGATTGTCCCCTCCAGGCCTCTGGAAAGGAACACAGCCCTGCTGACACCCTGATTTTAGTCCATTTTGGTTTTCTAACATCCAAAACAGTAAGACCATAAGTTTGTGTTGTTTAAGCCACCACGGTCATGATAATTTGTTACAGCAGCCTGAGAAAACTAAAGCAATGGGGGATGGACAACACTGGTCATTATGCAGGACAGGAGGGGCGGTGGAACATCAGTGAGTCCATCTGTGGAGAATAAATATCACAGAAGCTGGGGAGGTACAGCCAAGTGTGTCAAGGCTTACAATAGCTTAATAGCCATCTCTCTGCCTATTGGTTCATTTCTTGGTGAAGTTGGAGTGTCCACTCCTTCCCTTCCAGGACTAAAGAGGTAGAGCAGCAGACAATGTGGGCAAACTCCCAAAGTACACCTTCTGTGCTTTTCCTAGTTAGTCACCCTATGATCTTGGGGACAAATGGTCTCCAGAGTCACATGGCCCTGAGAGTGCCTGTCTTCTTCTTAGAGACTTTTAGAAACTCAGTTTATTTTGCTTTTGTCCTCAGAGCTAAGAAGAAAAGAAAATACCTCACCATGTGCAAGTATATATCACAAGATGATAGATAGTATTGTTAATGATAACAATAGATACCATCTGAATTTTCTAAGCCAGCACTTTATAGACCTAATTTCTTTTCATTGTCATGATCCCATAAGGTACATAGTTTATTATCTGCATCTTACAGATAAAAGAACTAAAACCCAGAGCAATTAAGGAGCCTGCCCCAAATCACAGAGCTAGCAAGTGGTAACCCAGTTCAAACTTACTCCAAAGCCCGTTCCCCTGAGGCACTTTATCACTGCTTCCTACTGCCTTCAGCATGCTGCTTTTCCAGAACTAGCTGCAGATTGAGAAGCTCCAGCTTCCTGTAGTTCTTCTAACACCAGGGCCGAGATTTTGACTGAAAGTCACTTACAGTAATAAAATAGTAAACATGGTTCAGAAACCTAACAACATTCTTTCAGTCCCGATTCCTATACTATACTGGCATGCTAAAGGATATTGCCTTTGTAGGCTCCCAATCAAATATATCTGTCTCTTCCCAGTCTAACTGCCCATCCACTCTTCCATGTTTCTCCTCAAACCCCATTTGTCATGGCTGATGGAGAGAAGGGGAAAGAGATAGAGTAGAGGAAGAAGGGGATTGGGCTGGGCAGAGCAAGGAGCCAGGGTCCTGGGCCTTATGTGACAATGGGTGCACTGGTGCCCAGCAGGTCTAGAAACTAAAGGCTGAAGTCCTTTAGTTCAGAGTCAAGACTAGCTCCCAGCTCAGGCAGCATACCCCATGGTCTTCCCTACAGGCCTCTACTCCAATCCTGTTTGGGATTCCAGATCTAACTTACCAGAGGTAAAGAGGTAAGCCAGAGGAGAGAATATGAAGAGAAAGGAAGAAAAGAGACAGAGATTTAATAGAACACTGCTAGTTCAGTTTCATTTACTATTTTTTGATGGTTTCCTCTGAAAAGCTCTACCCCCTGCCATACTGGCCTTGTGTCCTTAAAGATTCCATTCTGTCACTGGCCTACATCAGAGCTCCTCCGTGGAGAAGACAGGTGTTAATCTAGATGCCCAGGCATTTATTCAGCCAACATCATCACCATCAACTCTGTGCCAGACAATGTTCTAGCCACAGGTGATTCAGAGATGAAACAAAAGAGATGTTGCATTAAAATGAATCTTTCAGGAGCAAAGTCTTATGTAGAAGAATCCAGAAAGCCTATCTCAGGCAGAGTCAGACAGATACTTAGAGCTACTCTAAGGGTCCAGACTTTGAAACAGACTGATCCATTTGGTTAAATTCTAAAGTTCCCTAAGCCTGGCAACTTGGATCCTCCAAGTGTATGCTTGAGCGTATGAGAATAAAGGCCATGATGCAAGGAAGATAAAGGTTTCATCTTAGATCCGAACTCTATTGACTGGTAGTGGTTTCTTAAGAGTCTTGTGTTGACAAGGATTGTGAAACCCTATCAGGACTCAAGCACGAAAAGGGGCTGTGATAAATCAGCAATGTCTGCCACATATGTTTGAGGGATGAGTGACAGCAAATGTGCTACATGTTAATATCATAGCCCTAGTGTAGATTAGCTTACATTTTTTCAAGTTGTTTCACACCTGTTCACTTCCCAACTAAGCAACAAGTTCTAGGGAAGGCAGAATTAAGAGTAAAAGGAGACTGGAAGTTGAGCAGAGGAGCTTCTTTTTCTTCTGGAATGTGGCAAGATGGGATGGAATGAGCCTAAGGCATCCAGAACCAGAGGCATGGCTTTGGAGCTGGGCACCCCACTCTTCCAGAGATTCTCTGATCCTGAAATGTTAGAGTTGGGTTCTTGTTTTTCAGGGTTTATTAAATTAAATTATGTTCTCTAAAGTCTCTGCAACCACTGAATTAGCGAATACTAAATTATCATCCCTAGTGGAAATACAGGGTTAGGTTCCTGCAAACCTCTGATCATAACATTTTCATCAATCAGTTAATACTTAACTTTGTTTTACGTGTATTTTTGGGTAAAGATACCTAATTTGCTATATATTATTGATCCACTAACATTGATCTCACAGCACTGTAACTCCTGCCTTTTTTAATGCACATACATTCTCTATAAGGTGCATCACAGCCTTTGTGTGCTTGAGAACACTGGACAGCACTTCAACACTGTGATGAGCGCCATTTTAGACAGTGAAATCACCAACACACAAAATGAAAAATGTGGCACTAAATAGATGCGAAGGGGACACTTGTTTACAGTGTAAGAGCTGAGACAAGAAGGCAGAGTGTTGCCTTGTGTACCTCAATTGGGAACATGCATGTCGACCAACTCGACTCTTTCACCACTCTGTGTGTGTCTGTGGATGACAAGGAATATTGATTTGGTGTTACAGTTTTAGTGAGTAGGCAAATTTGTGAATACAGAACCCACAAATAAAAAAGGATGGATTGTACTTACCCTCTATGAGCTTCAGTAATGGTACCTTCCTGACCCTATAGATTAAATGAGAGAAGGTATATAAAATGCCTCAGATGATTCCAGTTAATTCTCTTTTATATACCAAATATTTGCATTTTCACCTTTTGTACCTTGATTGCCATGATCAATCCTGGGAGGTAAGTTAATACCAAGAAATTTTCAACCAAATGTACCATCTTTATCCCTGGAGCATAAATTAAAAACTACTCACACTAGCTCAACTAAAAAGAAGATATTTTGAACCAATACAAAAGGCACTATTGGGGGGCACTGAAGTGCAGGGATCAGCACAGCCAGGACACTCTACGAAGGAATGAAAACAGCAAGATTAGCTGTGGTCCCATCTCTCATGTGGTGGCATCGCATCATCTGCTTCTCTCTGAGCATCTGCTACACTTTTTTGCTACTCTCAGCAGAAAGGTTTCCTCTGCTTTCTATGGCTTCCTTGCACCCTCACAATTTTGGCTCATAGGTGGCTCTGGCTCCCACAGAGCTGATTCCTGCCTGACTCGTGGCTGGTGCATACCTGTGGTCTTTGCCTGTCCAGCACCATTCTCTCCTGGTAATGGAGGAGCTAGGCTCTACCTCTGGCTCCAAAGCTGGCGTGTGACCCAGGCCTCACCACTGGCCCTCTCTCCTGAGAATCTGATGATTTCTTAGTTATCTCCCATCACTTCTGTCATTACTGTCTACATCTTTTTGCTGCCTTGTGGCTGTTGTTTGCTCAGAGCTCTTGTTTACTCATGGTTTCTGCTTACTCATGAAGTCTGAATACTGCCTTCTCTCTGTTTCTTTCAGCTTCTGTTCTCACTGAGTTTTTTTTTTTTGTTCCTTGTCTCTCCAGTTCTGATTCCTGAAAGAAAAATCATTGGCTTATTTAACTATTTGGCCATTAATTATTTGTACTTAATTTTCTTGCCAGGATGCCCTATAGTTTAATGTCCAGCCTATTGATCAGCTGCTCCTAGGTAAGTGCCTGCCATTGTCCAATCAGCTAAGGGCAGAGTTGCAGGGGTAGGAGAGGTACATCTGGTATTGAATGTGGTCACCTATATTTAAGGACTTTTATCAAGCTGGTTATCCAGATGCCTACCTTTTTCTAACACCCCAAGTCCAATCTATGAAGAAATCCTATTTACTCTTCTCTCAAAATATATTTAGAATGTAATCACCATTCCTACTGCTACCACTCTACTTCAAGTCACACTGCCTCTCACTTTCAGTATTGCAGTAGCTTCTAAGAAGTCATGTGCTTCTTTACCTAGTTTATTCCTAACATAGGAGCCACAGTGATTCTTTTAACACCTAAATCAGGTCATGCCATTCCTTTGCTTCACAGACTACAATGGCTCCCCATTTCACTCAGAGCAAAAGCCAAAGACCTAGCCCCCATTATATTCTCATCATTGCCACTTTTCCCCTTGCTCACTCTACTCCAGTCACACCAGCCTCCTTGCTTTTCCTCAGAGAGCAAAGGCTCCCACCACAGGGCCTTTGCTCAAGCTGCCCCATCTGTCTGAAGCACTCTTCTAACAGATACTGGCTTGACTAACTTCTTTAGATCTTCACTCAAATCTCACCTTCTCTACAAGGTCTGCCCGGCCAATGTATTAAGTACTATAACTATAGTATTTAATACAGTACATAGTTAAGTACTATAGAATTAGATACTATAGCTCCCCCATATGTCCATTACTGCGTACCCTTGCAGTATTTTTTGTCCTTGCACTTAATACTTTCTAACAAACTGTATAAATTACTTATCATTTTTTCCCTGTTTCTTCCTGGTGAATGTAAGTTCTATAAAGATAGAGGTTTTTATTTATTCTGTTCCCTGATATATACTAAGGATTTATGACAGTGCCTGGTCCAAGCATTCCATCAATATTTGCTGAAATGAACTGAGTTCCTCAGCAGGAAGCTATAAACATAAACACTAAGGCTCTCCTGTGCAATACAAAATATCTCTTTCAGGGAAATTTAAGTGCACATATTAGAGAAGAGGAAAACTCTGAGATTCCATTTAAGCTTCCATTCAAGAAGCTAGGAAAAGAGCAGAATAAGCCCAAAGCAAAAGGAAGGAAATAACAAAGAGTAGACATCAACAAATTTGAAAGGATACTATGAACAACCCTACTCATATAAATTCAACAACTTAGATGACATGGACCAATTCTTTGAAAAACACAAACACAACTCACCTAATATGATAGATCATTTGAATAACACCATGACTATCAAAGAAATTCATCACATACCTACCAGAAGGGCTAAAATAAAAAATAACATAAAATGCTGGTGAGGATGCAGAGAAACTGGATCATTCACATGTTGTGGGTGGGACTGTAAAATGGTACAGCGATTCAGGAAAAGTTTGGTAGTTTCTTGAAAAACCAAACATTTTACCACCATACAACCCAGCAATTACACTCCTGAGCATTCATCCCAAAGAAATGAAGACTTATGTGCACATAAAAATCTATACATGAATGTTTCTAGCAGCTTTATTTTTAGCTTTTGCTGGAAACAACCCAGATGTACTTCAATGGGTGAATGGTTAAACAAATTTAGTCAATCCATTCCATGAAATACACAACAGTAAAAGAAAAAAGCCCACATTATTGATACATGCAAAATCTGGATCAATTTCCAGAGAATTAAGCTAAGTGAAAAAAAAAGACAAAAAGAGTACAGTTGTATGATTTCAATGATAGAATATTCTTGAAATGACAAAATTAGAGAAACAGAGAACAAATTGATGGCTGTCAGGGCTAACAGACCAGGCAGGGATGAGATTGGGAGGGCACAGTGGGGATCCTTGTGGTGATGGAAATGTTCTGTATTGGTATTGGTATCTTGGTTGTGATACTGTACTCTAGTTTTGCAAGGTGTTACCAATGGGGAAAACTGGGAGTATAGTCAGGGTTCTCCAGAGAAACTGAACAATAGGGTAAGAGAGAGAGAGAGAGAGAGAGAGAGAGAGAGAGAGAGAGAGAGATTTATTATAGGAGTTGGTTCACACAGTTATGAACATTGAAAGTCCCAAGATCTGCTGTCTGTAAGCTAGAGAACCAGGACACCCATGGTGTAATTCAGTCCAAGTCTAAGGCCTGAGAAACAGGGAAGCTGATAGTCTTAAGTCCAGGTCCAAAGGCCTGAGAATCAGAGAACTAATGGTGTAAATCTCAGTCGTAGATCCAAGGCTTAAGAACCAAGAACACTGATGTCTAAGGGTGGGAGAAGATGGATGTCCCAGCTCAATCAAAGAAAGTATATTCACACTTCCTCCACCTTTTTGTTCTATTCAGGACCTCAAGTGATTGCACAATGCCCACCCACATTGGTGAGGGTGATCTTCTTTACTCAGTGTACTCATTCAAATGCTAATCTTTCAGAAACACCTCATGGACACATTGAGAAATCATTTTTCACCATCTGTCTGGGCATCCCTTATCCTAGTTATGTCCACACATAAAATTAACCATTACACTGTGTAATGGGTGCAAGGGATCTTTCTGTAGTATTTCTTACAACTACATGTGAATTTATAATTATCTGAAAATAAATTATTTAATTTAAAAATATCTCTCAACGTTAAGATACCACAGTTATAGCCCTTCTGCAGGGAGAAGAGAAATACTTTATTAAGTTTAATCACTGATTATAAAACTGCATCTCAATCAGAAATGTTAAAATGGGAAAAAGTATATCTTAGAAACTAGGAAATATATTAGTGTGCATGTTTATTTGTAGTTATACACATCAGAACTAGGAAACCATTTGGAAGAAAAGACACCAAAATAAAAGTACTAATGGGGGGATTATACAAATTTTTTTTAGCTTATTAACATTTTTTTCATTTTTCTATAGTGAATACATATTACTTGTATAATTTTTAAAGCACACTATATTTTAAAGACTTTAGACCAACCCTTAATCCATTACTTGAAAGCCTGCAACCAATCTCCAAATAATTAGTCATTTCAATCTATTGTATCATAGAAATCAGTCTCTCCTAGAGCAGTCCAGGAAGCTCTAATTATTAGAAATGAGAGCTGTTGAAAGCAAAGGTCTGTATTGCCTATGCCTTCTGAGAGTTTAAGGACATGGGTTTGGGCCCAGGCACAGGTCAATTAAACTGGCTTATTCATAGAGGAAAATTGTAAAGGTACACCACTCGCATGGCTCACAAGGGCCAGGCACTATTCAAACACCATCCACAAGAGACACAAATATGCAAAAGCAAACAGGCAACACAAATCCATCTCTGCTAAGCACCCCTTCTAACTCAGAACAATTTCTCATTTCCACAAGTGGTCAGCAGGAAACATAACCAATTTAAAAATAGTTGTTATAATCAATAGCCAGAAACAAAAGTATAGAAGCAACCCATTCACAAAGAAGACCCCAAATCCCCATTAAAAATTTTAATGCCAACCTAACAATAACTATAAAGAAAACTCCAAAACCTTAATGGCAGAGTAAGAGGAAATCAGACAGTTATTCCTGCTCATAACTGGGAATACTAAACAAATGAGATGGTAACATTTCCCACTCACAGATTTATGCAATGCTAATTATTGGGGCACTAAGAGTTTTATAAATATAAAATGCAAGATAATTGTAAATTGTACATGAAAAGAAACATAAAAAAATGTTACTGTTCTGGGAGGAAAAAAGATATGTTGCAGAACTTCCCTTTCCTGGACTGAAAAACACTACAGTGTCATACAGCAGCAATGATCAATGAACTCGAGCAGTTCAACTTCCAGTTGAAGGGGCTGTTCTGAGTCAACATGCTGAAGGAGAATGTGGGGAAAGAGGCCCAGGCTAAAAGACCACTCAAAGCCAATGGGTGTCTTTGGGAGGGCTTTTTTGTTTGCAAAGATACAGAGACATCCTTCAAGGTAGCTCAAGTGAAAGAGAATTTATTTTAAGGCTGCAACAGGCAATTTCACCTCAACTGAGGATAGAAACAAACAACAATTGGACTTCTCTGCACTGAAACTGTGAA